CGCCTCTGCGCGAGGAGCTGTCCTCTCAGGACCAGAAGGGGCGGGGCCTCGACCGGGCTGCCCCGCCCCCCCAACTGAGCGGCCCCCCCGCCGCCGGAAGTGCCTCTCCGCAGGGACATATTTGACGTCACAGGGCTTTGACGTCAAGGGCCGCGTGCCTGTCCGCAAGCGCTGGGGCCGAGAAAGGCGGGAGACGCGGGGGAGGAAGAGCAGCAGCGCCCCCAGCTGCGGGCAACGGAGGCACACCCGCCCGCCCGGGCAGCGCGCCGGCACCTTGGCTCTAGACTGCTTACTGCCCGGGCCGCCCTCAGTAACAGTCTCCAGTCACGGCCACCGACGCCTGGCCCCGCCCCAGGACCGCGGACCCGGCCACCTGCCGCGCCCCCGGCCCCTCAGTTCCCCAGGGTCCCTCAGCGAGCGCTCTCCGCGCCGCCGCTGTCCGCGGTGCTGATCCAGCGCAGGCGCTTCCATCCGCCCATCCGGCCGGTGGTCACCAGAGGCTGCGAGGGGCGGCCGCTCACACGCACATCGCACGGCCCCCGAGCCCGGTCCCCATCGCGCGCTCTACCCCCGCTACCTCCTCCCCAACTGTCCTGACGTCTGCCTGACTGGAGCTGCCACGGTGCCGTCAGTAGCGCGCGCCCCGCCCCCGCGTCTCCAGGGCAACCGTGGCTTTCGATTGTTACTGTGGGAACCGGAGGTAACAGTCTACAGCCATGGTCGCCCCGCAGCACGCCCACGCACTGCGCCCGCCGCGCACTGCCAGCCCCGGATGGGGGAGACTAGGAGCAGGAGGAAGCGGGGGCGGCGAGTCAAAATCCGTTGTATCTATGGGGGCGGAGGGCGGTGCGGTGCTGGGGGGAGGACTACTCTCGGGTCTGACTGCTGCGTGTCTACCAAGGCAGGGAAGGAAGCATGGTCTGGGCAGTATGTCTGACCTCAGTGACCATCCTGTCCTCTTGGCCGAGGTTGCAGCCAGGAAATGGTAAAAGAAGGGTAGTTCTGGGATTTGTGTTCTTTCTGTCTCCTTGGTGGGAGGGAGGCGGCTGGGACCTGAAGGTCTCCTGCAGACTGAAGGGAGTAGATGGAGCAAAGTTTTCCTAAAATGCCACAACAGCATTCTTCCGGGAAACCCTCTGCTGAGCAGGCAGAAAGCGTGACTAATCCTTGAACCCATTTTCTGATGCAGCCTTCCCTCACTCTTCTCCCCGCTCTTTCATCCTCTGATCCATGTAGGGTGATAAGAAAGGTCCCCAACCCTCAGGAAGCCAGTGTGCTTGTAAAGTTAACCCGGTCAGTAAAGCATTGTCTGAATGTATCAGCAGCCTCACTTCAATCGTGCTGGATTCTAATTTGAGATAGTGTCTCAAATTAGTTCTAAAGTGGAAAAGTGAATATGAGAGGGGCTGAAGTCCTATTGGTCCAGTGAAGTGTGAGCAACGACCTTTTCAAAAACACACTTATATCACCTACCACCACCACCATCACCCAGTGCAGGGGCTGACTGATGGATACCGGGCGCAGGACTTCCCTAGGCACAGTCCTGGAAATGGTTAATGCAATCCAGTCCTGCCTCTCGTTAATCCAATTTTCTGTTACCTCTCCATAACCCCTCCTTTGTTAAACTACTTTTAAGGCAATTGGTGCTGGTTTCACAGCTAATCAATTCCCACACGCTTCCTTCCTCCCACTCAAGGACCCCAAAGTCTTAGATTAAATGTTCTTGATTCTGGAATCCAGAGGCCATCTGTGGGCAGACTGTAGTGTGTGCAGATGGGAGTAGTGCACTGGGAAGCAGGAGGTCCAACCTGGCCTTATCACCAACTGGTTATCATTTAAGGGACTGGGTTTCTGAGCCTTGTGTAACATGGGATAATAATCATTCCTCTCTGACCGACTTGTAAGGATCAAATAGGATCATGTGAGTAAAAACCTTTGAAAACTGCGGAATGCTATTTCAATCTTAAGTATTCTACTAGGCTGTTATGTCTTTGTGAGGGGCTGGTAGCATTGAGGAGACCCCAGCTCTGGCCACTTAGGCAGAATGAACAGGGGAAGGGGGCACAACTTTCTGAGCAGAAGCTCTTGGACTTGGGCTATGGAGGGGGCTTCTTTGCTCAGGGACTACTCTCAAGAGCTTTAGGTATCGAAGGTGGAGTGAGAGGCAGAGAAGAGAAATGGGAGCAATATTCTGAAGGGACCAAGTTGTCTGCAGTTTGAACCCATCTGGAGAAAATGGTCAGAGGGGGAAAACCAGAGAAGTGACTTTAGAGAATTTTTTAGTATCTTAGAACCTCATTGAGTGCACCACAACCCCAACCTATTTTATGGATTAGGAAGGTGAGACCCAGACAGGACACCTAGCCCAAAAGTCGTGAGTGCTGCGTGTCCTCTGTGCACTTCTGAGGTTGCAGGAGAGAAAGCAATGACTAGGAATGGTTAGGAATGTGAGTTCTGGATCTGAACCCAACTTTGGGTAGGTTACTTAACTCCTCTGCGCCTGTTTTCCTCATTTGTAATATTGTTAATAGTGGCTACTTCAGGAAATTCTGAGATTAAATTGGGCAACTCTATAAAGTTTTTGCTTTCACAGAATCGGGTGTAGTTAGCGCTCCACCAAAGGTACTCCTCTTTCTAACCTCTGGACCTCATTTCCCTTAGATACAAATTGAAAATGTTACATGAATGGTTAATTGGAGAGCTTTCTCCCCATCCTTAGTGGAGCACATGAGAATCCCAGGAGTGTGTTGTGTGTTTTTCAAATAGCACATGTTTACCAGAGACTTATATTCTACTCTCTAAGGCAATGGTTTTCAAATATCATGTTGTATGGGAGTGTCCAGTCCAGGGAGTTTGCCAAAATGCAGATTCCTCGGTCCAGCAACTGGCTCGGTAGGTCAAGTTTTAACATGATTCTGGTGCAAGTGGTCCGTAGAATCTGTGTGTGGGGTGGGGGGACAATGACCCCTAAGATTCTCTGTTGTTCCTGAAGGATGTGATGGGATAGGACATCTCACTTGTTGGGAAGCAGTGGACCACATGATCTCTTTCCTCCTAGCTTGGATATTTTCTGATTCTTAAGGCAGGAGGTGGGGGAGGGAGGAGAATTCTCACCCAGAGCACTGAGCACTTCTGCTCCCCCTAATACTGTTTTGTTTTGTTTTTTTTTTTTTTAAGATTTTATTTATATATTTGACAGACGGAGATCACAAGTAGGCAGAGAGGCAGGCAGAGAGAAAGGGGAATGCAGGTTCCCTGCTGAGCAGAGAGCCCAATGTGGGGCTCGATCCCAGGACCCTGGGATCATGTCCTGAGCCAAAGGCAGAGGCTTAACTCACTGAGCCACACAGGTGCCCCAATACTGTTCTGCTCTACCCTCATCCTTCTAACTTTAAACCCTGGCTTAAAATTCATGCCCCACTATCTTGTTCTCTTTTCATCTTCTCAGTAATTCCAAGTAGCAAGGGCTGTGGTAGCAACTGTCATCGTTTTCATCTCTTGGGACCTCACTAAAGGGGGCAGGCTATGATGGCCACGGGGGCACGTGAGCTCTGAACTGCATACTCACTGCATTCCACTCTGAACTCATTTCCAGAGAAGCTGGGGATCTTTGTGTGTGTGAAATTCCTAAGGTATTAAATACTATAAATCCAGTATTTTCTAAAATCCTACGGGTCAAATTCAACAGGTCTGTAGCAGTAATTCAGCCCATTTCTGAGTCCCCTCCTTTTGTCAAAGGGATCCCTTTAAAACACCCAAGAGCAAGCAGAGGCTGACACTAGCAAGGGGGAACTATCCTCCCATCCCACTTTCTGCTGTAAAGGTCCTAAATTCCAGTAAACTGGGTCTGTTGGGGGAGGGTGGTGTAACTCCAGCTTTTTTTTCTTAGACAACTACTGTTGTTAGTGAAGAATTCAGGATTTGGGGTAATCTAAGGGATATTAGTCTGACTGTCTCAGGATGGGAGGACGTATTTGTGCTATATCCCCTAACCCGACTCCTATTCAATTCCTAAACTCCCTGGAAACAACCATGCTTGAGGGCTAGATCAGGGCCTCCTGGGATATTCCAGAAAAGCAATGAGGTCGTGATCCTGCAGAGGCAGGGCTGAAATCAGAGAACAAGATGGGCCACAGGTGGGGGCACTGGAAGCAGGGCAAGGAGCTAAAGTGGGCAGTCTTTAGAGTGTCTGGGAACGAATGATCTCTAAAACTGGAGGGGCTACTTAGGCCCTGGCTGGATCGCTACAAAGCAGCATCAACCCCAGAAACTCTGCAGGTGAGGGCAGGTTTGTAAAAGTTTTTTTTGTGTGGTCTTGGGCCTCTTCCCAAGGTCTAGGACCAACCCATCCTCCAAGCTTATAGTTCAGAGGGGCTAAAGCAGTTCTGGAGGAAAAAGCAGAGCACCCAAGGAGCCAGAGTTTGACAGGAGGCCAGTACACAACCCTCAGGGTTCAGAGGAAGCCTAACTCAGTGGAGCCCAGAGAGCACCTTGCCCGGTGATCTCTTCCTAGAACTTCTCAAAAGTAAAATTCTTCCAACTCTGCTACCAAGGCCTCCTTTCCTTCCGCTTGGGACTTGAGATTTCTACCAAATGTGGGTACACATGAGCTTATCCTGGGGGGGTTCGTAACTAGAAACACTTCCTTCCCTCTTTGGAGCTGCCCTGGAAGCTGTGTGGATGCCAGGAATCCGGACTTCTGTCACAAAATGGCTTTCCTGTGCGTAGGAGGAAAAAGATGCTCAAAATTGCCACCAGCACTTTATTACGCAGCAGTCACAGCGTCAGCCCCCATGTTCCCATGTCACCCTCCACTTATCCAGGGGTCCACTGGCCTTTTTCAGGTTTGAGTGGCAGATGCCAAGCTCCGCTAAGGCCTTCTGATCCCTTTTATCTTGAGTGTAGAGCGGGGCTTATAATAAGCTGAGTCTCAGAATTGATACTTGACTCTTAATTGGTGATGATGAGGAACGCTGAAAGCCCCTGAGCTCCCAGGGGAGGGGGAAGTAGGGGCAGAGCCATTTGTTCATCTTTCACGCTGCAAACTGGTCCAAGAACTTGAGGTAGGCCTGACGCTGGGCCGCAGCTGCTGGAATGAAGTGGCCACCAGAGTGGGTGAGGGTGATGGCTCCAGTGAATTGACTAGCCAGCTGCATACTTTCCTGAGAGGGAATGACGCAGTCACTGTCCCCAAAAACGTGTAGTGAAGGCAGTAACAAGGGGCACTGCAGGATGGGTTCCTTGAGTCCAAGGCCTCGGGGACAGAAACCAGATACCAGGATGATAAACCTTGGCAAGGGGAAGCGGGGATCGCCAGCTTGGCCAAGAGCACACACAACGGCTGCCAGCGCGGCTCCCTGGCTGAAACCAAGGAGCCCATCAAAAGGTCCCAGTTTCTTCAGTGCCTGTGCCACAGTTCCCAAGGCTTCCTCCAGACCTCTGCATACTGTGGGCTGGCTCAGGGCGTTGAAAACGTCTACCTCCTGTTCTGAAAACCACCAGCCTCGGGGCTGCTCCTCCGGAAGGCAGGGCTCTATAGCGATATGGGGAAAGGATGGGGTTAGGGCAAGCGAGTATCTAAGGCAGGAGAAATGAAAAAGGGAGGGAGGAAGGGTTTGGGGCTGACAACTAGCGAAGAGGCGGCCGAAGATGAGAACCTGGGGGTAATGAGGTGGAGAGCAGAGTGGCATGGCAAGGCAGGGAAGCCTGATCATGGTGGAGGCCTGGGAGGCTGGGATGGAAGAAATGAAGAGTATGGGCAGGGGGAGGGAAGAGGTGAGGATGCGGCGTGGGGGTATGCTGAAAGACGTTACGGAAACGAGGCCAGATAAAAGACTCAGTGCATTTCCCCGTCTCACCGGAGTCCGGCCCGGCGCCCTCGGGGCCCGCAGCATCCGCGACCAGGTGCGGGCCGCTGAGGCACACGAGTTCGGCGCGGCCCCGTAGCGCCTTCCTCAGCGCTCCCGTCTTCTCGCGGAAGCCCCGCTCGCTCTGCCGGAAGCCGGCCAGGGCTAACACCCTCAACGTGGGCCGCGCCGCCATCTTGCCGAAAAACGAGCCAGGGACCGGAAGCAGCCTTTCCCCGAGCGGAAATCGAATACACGAGGGGTGGGACCAGATGCCGGCCCCACCCCGAAGGCGGGCCTCTGCGCGAGCGGGGTGTTCCCATAACAACCAGGCGCGGCCCAAGCAGGGGCGGATACCTGAGACCAAGGAAGGGCTCATCGAGCTTTCGTTGCTCCCTTATCGCCTCCGCAGCTGCAGCCGTCGCTAGCCGCGGCTGGAGAGGGCTGCGCGGACCCCTGCATCGGAGGATGGCAGACTCTGCTCAGGGACTCTGCTCAGGGTCTCCATCCTGCTACGTCCTCCACCCTACTCCCGTGCATTTCCCGTAGCGGCCTCACGGCGGCGGCCTCGGCTCGCGTCGCTAGGGAGGCGGCCAAGCGAGGCCGCGCCTTTGGTCTCTCTCCTCCCGGCTTGCAAGTCTGGGCCTACCTTCTCCAACACCAGTGGGCTCAGGGCCTGGAGGGGGCGGTTCCGTCCGTGGTTGACTGTCCATGGCCCCAAGGAGCTGCCGGCGTAGAAGTCCATAGGGTAGGGCTGCTGCCAGGAAATGTCCCTCAGGGCCACCACTGCCTAAGGGAGGACACCCGTACAACAATTGCCAACTTTTTCTGGGCAGGATTAATTGATTCAATCTTCACGATAGCCTATGGAGGTCCTATTGTTCTCATACCACAGAAAGGAAATGTGAGGCTCTGACAGGTTAAGGGACTGCAGATCCCTCCCTGGACAGAACCAGATGCAAAGCTCACTCTCTCTCAGGTATTTTCAAAACGCAGGGTTACCTCATAGGGTGTCAGCAGCGGCTTGGGGAAGGCGGTGCCCCAATCAATGGAAAGGCGCGGACATGCTACCTGCACCCACCTGGGAAGGGAAGGTCAGGTCAGACCCAAGGATGGGGGTGGGGAAGGTGGTCCTCCCCTGGGCAGCATGCTGAAAAACATGACTTTGTCCCCAACACACCTAACGAATGCTTACTATTAATTCTAGAGTAAAGACAGTCACGTACTACTGTTCAGAATAACACTATAGCTGTTGATTTTCTCGTTTCCTCTGAGAGAGCCCTCTGCGAGCTCTCTGAGGGCAGGGCCCAGGCAGCTTATCTGTGATCTTATCTCCAGAATCAAATTTAGCTTAATTCTGGTACACTGCAGGTGCCAACTACCCCTCAAAAGAATGACTGTGATGTTATAGTTGCCTGTGAGCTCCCAAACTGAAATGGGCGAGACCCCTAGCCAAGAACAGCCCCTGCTGAATGAGGGCTCTGTAAACGTGAACATTCATGGAAGCAATCCCCACTGACTCCAGCCTTCAATATGTGCTGGGCAGGACACTGATCTAAGGAAGCTTCCTTAGCCAGAGTCATCGCTAGAGAGGTAAGGTGAGGAAACTTACACATCCACTTCAGGAAGTAGGTTAAGCTTGCTGGGGAAGATCTCAGAGAGCAACAGCCTCAGGAAGGGAAGTCCTAAGGCTTGGAGCCGAGATTCCAGGTGCTGCTGGAAGATGGAGGCCAAGCTCAGGTCACCATGGTCAAGCAACCAAGTCAAAATCCCTTAAGCCTACTAATTTTCTCAGCTGGGTTTCTAGTCAGTCCCCTCCTCCCGAGGCCATCCCAAGCCCTCTGACCTCCAGAATTTTGGGGCTGCCCTGGCGGCCCAAAGTGCCCAGGATAAGGCCCCAGGATTTAGCTGAGCGGGCTGTGGCTATGGCTTCTTGGCGGTTGGCTTGCATGCGCTGGTGGTCATAGTGTTCTCTGGATAGGACTTTGCTGTATGGGTCATATCTGGAAAAGAAGCTATGAGGGTTACGGTGACAGCCACTCATGGTACCTGTTGTGCCCATAGCTCCCTGACTCAGTCCCTTGGTCTCCTGAATCTTTAGGTTCCATGCAGGTAATGAGGAAGAGAGCAGAGATCGTCATTGGAAAGCCCAGTCCCACAGCTGGAGCAGGCAAAAGTAGGAGAGGGGTTTAGAATCTCGGTATGAATCCCAGTGGGGGATGGGTGGGTACTGTGCAGCAGCAGCTCTGGGTCTGACGCCTGGATTCAGGAACCAAGTACCTCAGATACTTAGAGCTGTTGGCTGTCAAGGGGCCAGGGAATGAGGAAGTTTCGGTCAGTTGAGGGCTTCAGTGGCAGGGAAATCCCACCCTCTCCCTAGCTGGTCAGCCCAGCTCAGCCCATACCGGTAAGCGGGGACACCAGGGTTGGCAATCATGACAGACTCCAGATGGAAACGGCCGTCTCCAAGATATCTGCGGCAGAGAGACAGGGGATGATAAGTGTGGGGTACGGTGAACCAGCAGAAAAGGTGGGCACTGGCTTGGAGGTCCCGACTGAGCTCCTGGCTCAATGTGCTGCTGCTGTGGGGAGAGAGGGGACTGGCACAAGTCAACATTCTGCCTCCTGAGGCCTTGGTTTTCTCACGTGCAAAATAAAGAGTTTGAACTGGATGAGAATAAGGCTCTTCTAGTTATGTAATGCAGAATCTGAGAACTGCTCCTCACCCCAGACTTCTGGGGGAAGGGTAAAAGGGCAGCCATGGCCATGGCTGCCCAAGGCTCTAGAGATCCTACCTTGGAGATGGTGGGACAGTTCCTTACCTAGCTCAAAACAGACACGGCAAATAGGGTTCAACGTGTCATCGATGTTGTAAATGAAGTTTCAGGGTCTACAACGGCTCTCTCTCCCCAAACTGGCTCTCAGGTCCTCTTACTGAGTTGTAACAACTACTGTTTACTGGATTTGTGTCTTCTGTGCACCAAGGCCCGGAATAAGAACTTGCCATGTAGGACTTCACACTCTGACCCTCAAACAGTCCTCTGAGGTACCTAGAATATCCCCATTTTACAATAGATACAGCTGCTGTTCAGGGATGTTAAGGAATTTGCCCAAAGTCACACAGCTATTAAGCAGTAGATATAGGACTTGTCTCTAGGCTTAACCACCAGACTCTATCAAGACTGTCCCTAAAAGGAGCTTCCCAGTCCATGGAGAAGGCAAAGCATAGAGGACAATCACGAATGCAGTTCCTTCTTGGAGACCACACTGATCTTTGTGATGAATGCCCCACATTCAGGGTGTCTCTCCAACACACACCTGAAGCCCCCAGTGGTAGGCACCTACAGGCTCAGAATTATGCGGGCACAGGCAGAGGGGCAATGCCCCTTCGGGAGCAGGGCTGTCCTACATGGGAGCAGCAGGCCCTGTGGGACTAGCATCTACAGCCCCAGAGGTGGGGCTGAGTCAGGGGAGTGCCCCTCCCGCTCTCCCTGCCATTAGCTAGGAATGGGGCTCCCCTCCCTAGTCCCAGCCGGGGGAGCTATCAGCTCTGAGGCTGGCTGCATTCACACAACATTAAGCATTTCCATTACCTAAAATAATTAGGCGGCAGGAGACATGCTGCTCCTGCTTGTTAGCTGTCCGGATGCTAAATTAACGGGGCTGCAGCCTGGGCGTGCCCATCCATCTTCTCCAATTATATTCCCACCATTTCTAGCCCACCCTCACCCCCACTCCCCACCCCATGAGGCCCTCTGATTCCTGCCCCAGCCTGGGCATAGCCTCTTACATGGTGGACAGAGCACCTGAGAGGGAGACAGGCCCCCTGCAACCCTATTCGGTCCCCCTTTTGTAGGGTGACCTTGAGCAAACAGTTAAAAAAGAGCTTGAGACTCAGCTTCCTTTCCTACACAATGAACCTCCCAATCCCTTCTAGGTGCATTTCTTATGTCTCTCCAACTGGCCCCTCATCTTTCACTTACACAACAGCCTCCACCTCTCTGGGCAGCTGGGGAGCCGTGCAGCCCAGGATCTCCCCAGGGGACAGGGGCTTGCACTGTGGGACACTCACACGGTACTCAGCTCTCAGCTCCTGGGCAGCTGCCTGGAGGGATGAGGAGGGAAGGGAAGCAAGTGGGTGAAGAGGGAGAGCCAGGGCCAGAGGACCAGCCGGAGCACCTAACATGGGCCCCAGGAAGAGTCCGGAGGCTGGCTACCTATCTGTTCACTTACCTGCAAGGTCGACACAAACTGAATGGTGCTGACCAGGGCAAGGGAAGTGGCTGGGGGAAAGGTGAGGCGGATAGAATCCAGGAGGTGGGTAGTATCTATCCGGATGTCCACAAAGACATACAGTACCCGGAAGTCTCGGGCCGAGGTGTCCATGGGAACTGGGAAGAGACAAGAATTCAGGAGACTGTTTTGGAAGGCCAGAGGCGCAGGGGGCCTGCCTGGGCCAAGGTCTCTGAGCAGCCAGGACCAGTGGCTTCAGCCTAGGGATACAAGGAGTGAGCAGGAGGCGGTGTGTGTGGGGGGGGGCACAGGGATAGGGTCCCTTAGAAGCCCCCTTTTCCACCCTCGACCGGGGGCCCAGACTGCTCTACCACCAACAGCCTTTCAAACACCCACATTGGGGACAGCAACGTTGTTTCCAAGGCAACCAAACCCAAAGGAAAGATCCACCTGCAGAGCAGGAAGGCCAAAGCCATCCCAGAAACTGCGAGGGACCTCCTGCCTGCAAGCAGGACAAGAAGGCACCATGATGGGGGAATTAGCATGCAGTCCTGCCTCCCTGCCTCCCTGCCAGGATCCCCGCCCACCATACCCAGGCAGCTGTGGCCATAGTGCACCAGGAAGTCAGCTCCCAGGGCCCTGGCGGTAAAGTCATCCACACAGCAAGCCCCATATGTCACATCGCCCATCACCATCACTTCGGCCTCTGTGAACCTGTGGAGGTGAGGGAACGGGGAGGGGGACAACGAGACGGTGACACCAGGGTGAGGTGGGAGAGAGACCTACCCCTGTGGGGATATCTCAGGGCCCAACTCCTCTCCCTACGCCCTGCAATCACTGGGGCTGGCAGCTGCCACTTCTGCCAACAAAGAGTAGGAAGGGCCCAGCTGTCACATCCCCCGGTCCTGGCAGCAGCTCTTGGAACTGGAGCGGTATGAGGACGGTCTCTGTAGCACCCGGGTTCCTCCATCCAAGCCCAGACTTCAAGAAGGACCCCCACCCCTCAGCTGGGCAGACACAGGGTCAGATATGGGGGCTCTGATGCCCCGGCTTGTCCCACCCAGAGCAAGGAGCGTGCACACACATGCAGAGGCGCCCGCTCCCATGCTTTGACACTGCAGCGTGCGTGGGTACGCATGTAGGGATACACACAGCCTCCTATCACCCAGACCCCCTGCTACCTCCCCACCCTTAGTTAGGGCCCTCTGCACCCAGGGTGGGGGGTACCCACGAACGGCTCCCCCATAGCACATGGCACCACCCACACACCTCATGCGTCAGAAAGAGTGGGCTCTGGCCAACACACTGCCATAGGATCTGCTGCCAGGCCTGAATCACTGGGGGACAGGGGCGGGTGGGGAAGACCCCGCACTCCCCAAATTCACCAGGGGCATGGTGCTAGAGGACCAGCTCTTCCTTGAGAGATGCACCCCTGGGCCACAGGGCCTGGCTTGGCAACTAAGGTCTCCCATCTCTCTCCTGGAGGTGTGCTGGGGAAAGCTGAGCTGCTGTCAGTCAGCAGCCCCTCCTCCTCCCCCTTCCCCAAATCAGTCTGTGCACAAAAGCAGATTATTCAACTCCTTAAAATGCAGCCCAGGCGTCTGAGTCAGCCAGAGCACTTAATTTTTTATAGATTAAAATGTATGCAAATTGGCCTGAGCCCCAGAGAGCATCCCCAAGGGGCAAGAGGGTGGGAGCTGGGAAGTGAGTCTGTGGCAGTGGATGAGAAGCAGAGTGGGGGAGGGCAGCAGCAGGGAAGTGGGAGGTTCCCATCACTAGATGACCTCCCCTTTCCCCATTCCTCCTCCTTGTTCCTGTGCTGGTTCCAGATGGCTGAGAACTCCCCACCCCCAGCCCCAGGATGGCTCATTGTAATGAAGAAACTTAGACAGAGAGGGGAGAGGAACTGAATACCATCTCCTAGACACGTCTCCCCCACCAAGCCCCTCCTTGCCCTACTCCCCCAAACGTGTGGGAGAAAAAGGTTCCCCTTGGCTAGACCTGATGCTGACAACACAGCTCATTCCAGGTCAGCTCTGAGGATTCCTCCTCAGGCCCCACCACCTGCTCTAGGCCCAGCTTTGAAGATACTGGAAACAACTCATCTCCCCACTTCCCTGCTGCACCCCCTCCCCCACTTTAATATTTTAGGGAAAAAGAGATTTATACAGACAAGCCAAGCCAGACAGGCTGGGATCTCAGCAGGCTGGGAGTTTAGTTTTGACTTTTTCCCTTTGTGCATGTATGGTTGTGGGAGGGGGCAGGGTAAGGCCAAGGTCCAGAAGGAAAAATGTCAACAGGAAGAGATATAATGGGCATGGGGAAGGTCTTGGCTTAGCTTCTTCTCCAGTGCCCCAAGCCTCACCTTTCCAAGATATCCACAATGGTGCAGGCAAAGAGGAGAAGGCCCTCAGGCATTTGCAAGGCCACTGAAAGACAGAGCGAAGACATGAGGGCAGAGGTCTAGGAAAATCCTGGGATGGGGATACTGACCCTGACAGAGCCAGGCAACCTCTCCACCCCTACCCCATCTCAAAACTTGGGGGCTCACCCTTTTTGGCCTGGGCCTGCTGAATCCTCCAGATGGTCTTGGGAATCTCAAAGTTATAGTTGGAAGGCAGGACCTGAATGGCTGCCTGCAGCTGGGGGCTGTTCAGGATCTCAGGAGGGATCTGATTGGCCAAGCGGCCCCTAGGGGCTCGACCTAGGACAAATGAAAGGACTGAGTTGGCACCTGGCCTAAAAGAGAACCAGACCCAGTTAAGTCCTTAACACCACCAAGTTTCAGGCCCAGATCCCAGATGCCAAGGGGGTTGGCCCAGCTTTCTTCCTCACTGAGTTCATTCTGAAGCTGGAAAGACAACACATTAAGCCTGAAAGAGATCTGCATAATTAGCTTCCATGTTGAGAGATTACTGGGAATCAAAGATTTGAGCCCATGAGGGAGGTATACCCCATCCCTTACCTCTGGAAGAACAGAGATAACACCAGGAGACTGACATGAATCCAAACAACGGCTCCTTGGTAAAGAACAACTCTGAGGAAAACCCAAGAGCCTAGAAGTCTGGGAAAATGTCCTCCCCTGCGCCCAACCCCTCACCCAAGTCCCTGAGAACACTTTGAAGTTCTGAGGTCCTAGATATGCAGTCTATAAGCAAACTTATTACGTACTGACTTAAAAGACTTCCCTCTTTACTCAAGTCCCACTGACTCTGTCTACAGTGGTGAATCCCTACACTCTTCCCTCTCCTTGTTTAAAAGGGAAATAAAAACCAAACATTTGGGGCGGCTGGGTGGCTCAGTGGGTTGAGGCCTCTGCCTTTGGCTCAGGTCATGGTCTCAGGGTCCTGGGATCGAGCCCCGCGTCGGGCTCTCTGCTCAGCAGGGAGCCTGCTTCCCTCTCTCTCTCTCTGCCTGCCTCTCTGCCTACTTGTGATTTCTCTCTGCATCAAATAAATAAATTAAAAAAAAAAAAACACAACAACAACCAAACATTTAACTGACTTAACAGCTTCCTTAGTCTCACTGTTCCACCCCAGGAAAAATAAAAGAACACACTCTAGTTAGGACTGCAGGCAAACAGGTAAGGATAGAGAAGCGACCCCACCCTTTAGGGGCTAGTAGTCTAGCACGGGCAAATGCAGGTATACAAATTACAACCTGATTAAAGGAGAAAACACTGTAGCCATTAGCAAAGCTGCAACCCTTAATTTGCTTCCTATTCCCAATTCAGCTTAGCTCAACCCTATTATCTCTTCAGGAACCAGAGAGTTTGGGAATGTGATAAGGAAACAAGAAATTAATTTATTGAACAAATATTTATTGAACCTGCCCTTTGTGCCAGAACTTCTGCTAGGGCCCTTTACTACTATGGGAGGGATCCTCCCAGACATAATCCTTCTCTCTCTGCCTGTGGGCAGATGATTGTAGTTGATGATGGAGACCATATTTGAATGTTACTACGGCCATAGTTTTTGTTTATTTGTTTCAAAGACCTTGGAACAAACAGCCCAGAACCCTGGGCCCCTCACAGAAGCTCCTCTGACAGGGCAAGTCCCCTGTGGTCGTTGGGCTGTGGGAGCTGCTGGTTTTAGTAGTTCAATTTGTCCTCGGGACTTGAAGGCGCCTCCTCCTTTATCACGTGTCTATGATCTTATGTTTACATCAGTATTCCCGAGTAGACGAGATCCCTGAGGGCAAGGCTGTTGCGTAGTCCCTGAACCCAGCAGAGGCCTGGCAGTCAGTGAGCCGGGTGAATGAAACCCTGTGCCTCTTTCCTGGAGGCATTCCCCGCGGGCCCACTTGTGGAATGGCCGCTGCAGCGCGCCTGGCTCTTTCCTTCCCCATCCGGTCCGCTTTATCCGTGAGTCCTCCCGTGCCAGCCAAGGCAAGGGCGGGGGCAGCGTTTCCGGCTTGAGGATTACAAGCTCCTAGGAAGAGCTGCTCCGGATCGCGCCCGAAGGCTGCAAAAGGAAGACTGGTCCCTCTGGGGTCCAGTGAAAGCCGCTGGAGCAAGTGACCGCGGGGCCCTCCGGGTCTGGCGTTGAAAGGCCGCCGCCGTTAGCGGGGGAAGGTGCTGTCCCTGAATTGGGAGCCCTGACTCGCGATGCGAGGTCCGGAGGCCTCAGCGTAGTAGCACCCACCTCTACCAGTGCCGTTTCGGCTGCCCGGCTCCGCCGTCACGGACTCCGCCAGCGCCGCCATCACTGGCCTGTCCACGTGGAGACCAAAAAGGCAGCGCTAGAAGAACGCCGAGAACTCAGACCTTGCGATCGACCGCCGGTCGCGGGCGATGGGCGGGAATTTGCTGGGCGGGGACCAGGAAGGAGACGGTAGGGGCGGGGCTACCGCGGTCCCCCCCCCCCCCCCCCAGCCCGCAGGGACCGGGCTCTCCGCCCCCCCTAGCAGTCCAGTACCAATCGCAGTTGCACTCTCTCGACGATCCAGTCTTCTTCTCCGCTCCCGGTTTTCCAGACCTGGCACTCCCGACCAGTGCTCCCCTATTTGCCGACTCCCTGCCCGAATTCTGTGAGCCAAGTCTTGTGAATGGGACACCACCCCCGCCACCGCCCAGTATCCCTTTTGCTCCTCTCTCAGTCTCCCCTCCTGGTAAGCAGTGGAGGCCGTGTAGGTAGAGCCAAATTCCGTACCTCAGAGGACCCCACTGCCCAAACAAGACAGAACTCAGCTCCCATCAGCCCAGATCCAAGCTGAGTCTGGGGTTTTCGGAGCGCCAGAGTGCCCTTACCTTTAGGACCAACAGTGCAGAATGCTGGAAGGGTTCCCATGTGAAAAACTGCTACCAAGGGAAGGCCCCAGCCTGAGGGTGCTTTCCTGGGGCAGGGCGTGGGGGTAGGGGGAACAGTCTAAGGAATCCAGTTGCCTAAACCAATCTACCCTTTTCCCTGCCTCGGCTGCCTCTCAGGTCTAGATAGCCTTTCTCTTGATCAGGCCTGGGCTCCTAAGATCCCAAAGGGAAGGCGTAAGCAGCCAGTGAGATGGCCTTGACCTTTGGAAGATCAGAGTACCTGCAGGACTGGCCCTTAGCAAGGTCTACCCCATACAGCAATAGTCCCCCAGGGCTGTTTGCCCATCCAGCCCTCTGGCACCACCTTCCTCTCTCAGAGGTGGTGATGTGAGCACAGCTGGCCCTTTAAGGTAGCTCTGTGGCCTGGGGCTCCTCCCCTGGAGGCCCTCCTTGCTTGGAAACTCCTAATTAAGGTACAGGGAGAAGTGACAAACAAGCAGCCAGGGACTGGCCTGCCTGGGCAGCTGCCCAGAGAGAAAGGATGTATGGGCTGGCTGAGAGTGAGCAGCCAAGGGGAGGACCAGAAGGGGTCAGTGCTCTGCCCCCCAGGCCACTGACTGATACTCTTCGGACAGTCATAGCTTTGGACAGGGCTGTAGCCGATAAGGGTCCCAGGAATACCCCCTCTTGCCTTGATAAGAGCTCGGCATGGACTTCCCATCTCCCCTGGGTTCTTTGGACTCCCAAAGTGCAAAATCTCAATTCCAGGGATCCCCTGAGTCCAGCCCCTCCCCCTTCAGGACACTAAGGCCCAACCGGTGGACAGCTTTAACTCTGGCTGTAGCTGTGAGATCCACGGGGGTGGTGGAGGTGGGGGAGATTGACTCCAGAGCAGCAGTGGCTTCTCCCTAGCAGGTCCCGCATCCCTTGGAGCCTTTCTCTGGGCAGAATGGGGCCTGTGGGTGATTGAAGGCCCTCACCCTCTTACAACATCGCCTCACAGCCTCTTGTGCTGAATGAGCTGCCCTAGCACCCATTAGGAAACCAGGTGATGTCTAGGGGAACTAGACATCAAGGACAGATGTGAGCACGTCCCCTAAGATAACTGCAGTGAAGGACATTGGGGGCTGTCCTTCAGCTTGGGCCGAGAGCACCTCCATCTGTTGGTGGGGGGTCTCCCTGCCTGAGTTACTCAGCAGGCTGAGTAATTACTGCCTGACAAGAAGGCGGGCACAGCACATCCCCACATTATACCACAACACCCGCCTCTAGTCACCCCCACCCCCTGGCTGGACTCCAAAGCAGCGCCCAGCCCTCCTGAGGCCCGAAATAACTGTGTTTCTCATACTCACACTGTTGGCCCAGCCCCAGCCAACTTCGTCTGAGATGCTGGAGTTTGTGGGGCAGGGGGGTCATGGGGAGGTAGCTAAGGGGGCTGGAAGGAGGATTAGCAGACCCCAATTAAGGCCTACACTTTGGCACTGATCTGCTTTATGATATGGAGCAAGTTGTTCAACCTCACTGGGCCTCATTTGGCTCCCGGAGAGCCTAGGGCCTTGAGACCAGCTTTAATGCCTGGCAGGGTGTGGGGCCAAGTCCAGCCCTGCAGCTGGTCAAGGCTAAGAGAGAGAATACTCCACCTCCAGTTCCATCCCAAGATGGACCAATCTTCTTAATCGTCAGAACAAGGTTACTTTTTCACCTTCAAGCATTTGCACCTTTTCTCCTGCCTGGAATGCCCTTTTTCTTCTCAGACTAATAACTCAGCCCTCAAGCCCCAATCCAAATGGCATCCCTTTGATGGCTTCCTTGATCATCCTTCACCTTCACCCCCCTCACAGAGCTAGCAGAGCCCCCAACACTTTCTTTCTCCTCCTGTCACATTCTAAGATGCCTTGTGGGTCTTTCTTCCCCAGCTATGCCCTAAGCTCTTGTAGTTACATGCCTGTGTATTTAGCGGAAACCCAGAGCCTTGGTGCCATTGAATGCAGAGACCTTGTCTTTTTCACTGGCTGAATCCCTAGGAATAGTAATGCCCCACGAATTGACCCTCAGTAAATGCACGTTGAATGAGTGACTTAGCCCCCTCTTCTTCCTTTCCCAGGACCCCTCTTATTCCAGGCCAGTAGGGGGTGCCGCCTCCATCCAGGATCTCGCCTGGCCTGAACCTTTTCTGCTCAGCCCAACTGGCCCCCTGCGGGACCTGCTTTCTAGGCGGTGCCTCCTCCATTTTCCTGGAAGCCCCGGGCGGGGTCGGTGTAGACTGAAGGAGATCTGGGACACCCCCCTAGGCGGGGATAGCCCACCTGAGCCCCACACTGGTCCCTTCCTCACTCTAGAATTTGGAACTGGGCCTCCCTGAATGCTTGCTGCGTGGACTAGAAGAGTCTGGGGGCGCGCCACACCTACCCCCCAAAAGAATAGTATCCTGGGACGCGGGATGCGAGGCGGCTGGGTTTCCCGGAGCTGTCCTGGGCGGGGAGGAGCCGTCGAGCCTCCAAGAAGGAAGCGGAGTCGCCTAGAGAGGATATGGGCAGGGGTGCAGACTTGTGATCGGGGTCTCTGGGTGGCAGTCCTCCCGTCCCAGCCGGTGGGCAGAGCGCACGCTTCCAGCCGCCTCTCTCAGTGACCTCCAGCCGCGAAGGGCGAGCAGACGGGGGTTGGGCTGCGGGCGCGAGCTCCGGGAAGCCCGCGGGGCCGAGAAGGGGCTTTCGAGTAGCCCGACGGCCGCCCAGGGCCTGGGGCAGGTACTTGGACAGACGCGGGCCAAGGATCGTCCCTAGGGGCGGGCGCAGCGAAAACACCTTGGGAGGCGGCGCCGCGCGGCTGAGCGCCGCTGCCCTGGGAATAGGACGGCGCTCGGCACCGCGAGCTGAGAGCACTTTCATAAATTTTGTATGGGAGGCGCTCCGTGAGCGGGGGCGGGGAGCGGAGCGAGAGGGAGGGAGCTAGCGAGCGAGGGAGGGAGGAAGGGAGGAGAAAAGGTGGGGGTAGCCGGGGGGTGGGGGGAGGAAGGGAGGCGCCCCGCTCCGCGGATCGCTGGGTCCTGCAAACGCGCGCCGGGCGCTTTCCCCGGAGCTCCGCGGTGCGTGCGAGCGCCCTTTTGCAGCAGCCGCGGCGGCGGCGGCCCGAGGGGGCGGAGAGGAGGGGGCCGCGGCCCGGCGGCCGGGCGGCCGGGGGGCGGCGTCCCCCCTCAAAACCGCCTGCAAAGAGCTCGGGGCTGCAGAAGCAGGCCGCCGGCTCCGCGGAGCAAGCCGCTTGTCCCGGGGTTGAACGAGCGCGCCGGGCTGCCAGGCAGCGCCGCGGTTGCTAGTGGGCGCCGGTGCCCTCGGCGCTGGGCTCGGGCTCACCATGCCCCTGAGGGGCCGGGCTGCCGGGCACAAGCGGATCCCCGGCTTGCCCCCGCCTCGACGCGCTCGGATTAGCTGTAGCCGGCACCCAAGGATTTGAATCCGGACTCCGGCAGGGAGCGCGCCTAGGCCGACCTCCGAGTGGCGGCCCCGCGGCCAACATGCTTCGAAAAGGTGAGTTGGAGCCGAAGGGGCAAGTGGGAGTTGAGTGCACACGCGGCCGAGCCTCGAGCCCGGGAGCCACCCAAGCGCTCTCCGGCGCCCGAGCTCCTGGCCCGGGAAGCAGCGGCTGGCGGGCTGGCGGGCTTTGCGGGACGCACCTGCGGAGGGTTTGCTGCTGGAGCTCAGCCCCTGTCGGTGGCCGGTTGCGAGACACGGGATTTGCGCCATGGATCAAGCGGCCAGGCCTAGGGATCTGGCTCGGCGAGGTCATTTAGAGACCACTGTGAGCTATCCATGATGGAAGGGAAGCCGGCCTTCTGGGACCTTTGCTTTGCCATTATAAAGTTTTGCAGTCGCAGACTCCTTCGGCTGCGTGGGCACATGCTGCCAGTTCTGCCGCTTTGGCGGGGCCGGGTGCGGCCCGCGCTCCAGGGCGGCCAGCGGTCAGTCACCGCGCCGCCCGGGCGCTCACTGCGCGCCCTCGCTTCTCAGGCGGGGCCGGGACATGGGCACCTTCCCGGCAGTCCTGCTTTGGTCCTCAGGGACGGGCTCTGGGCACCCAGCAGCCCAGGGGAGGTGGCTAGCGCCTGCCGTCCTGTTCTTCAAACTTTCCTTATGCCTGGAGCAGCGAGATGGGAAGGCGGGGCCGTACCCGCTCCGTGCGCGGCAGGTGCCAGGCTCAACTTGAGGAGAGCTGGCCCGGCGACCACCTAACCACAACCACCCTCCCCCTGCCCCCCTTTCCCCCGCAGCCCGGCTCATTGCAGAGCGCTGCAAAGTTGGCGCGGGTGCTGGGGAAGTCCCGCCGCGCCCCCACGTGGCTGCCGCGCGGGGAGCTGTCCCCGGGGTCCAGGGAGGGCAGGTGACCACGCCGGGAGCCCGCAAACCCGGTCTCCAGCTGCCCCGGCCTCTGCGTCTGCCTCCCTCCCCTTCCTGGTCTGGGCGAGCTGCGGCGCTCCGTCGGGACCCTATCGTTTCTGGGCCGGGCCGGGTGGCCGGCAAGCTGCGGCGGCTGCGTCTGGCTGCCCCGGTCCTGCGGGAGCCGGCTAAGGCGGGAGCTCAGGTAGCTAAGGGCCCTGATCCCTGCGCTCCGCGCTCCTGCCTTAATCCGCCCCTGTTTCCATGGCAACAGACCGAGGTGTCGTAAGCACAGGATTCTGACCTCACAGTAGGATGGGGAAGGAGAAAACGGGCAGTGGGAGGTGGCGAAAGAATGAGAAGTGAAGCCTCAAGATGGGTGGAGAGGAGAAGATGTGGGGGTCAGGGAAGAGACCCCACAAGCAGGTGGGACAGGCGGGGGAAGAAACCACGCCTTCTCTGGAAGCAGTAAAGGCTGTGTGGTGGTCCCGGCTGGCTCAGGCCTACCGGGGAGCCTCGGTTGCCCCGTCGTGTCAATAGCCACAAACTTGTGGTGACTTGTGTCTTCCACGTGGGTCGGGGCAGGGCGGGGAGGCGGAGCGGGGGGGCGATTGGGGGCGGGGACGCTGCCTACCTTTTCCTGTGGTGTGGGGAAAAGTCTCTCTGGCTGCTTGGAGAAACCTCTTCACTGATAAACCCCGGTTCTTTTTCTCTGCAGAATGGGACTTAAAGGCCTTTCAGCAGCTAGCCGTGGTGGTCAGTGCCTGCACACAGAGGCTGATCTTTACAAAACTGAGCTGAGGCCCGGGTCTGAGAAGCTTGGGCCTGGAGTGTGCACACTTGCCCTGGTGCCTAAGGATTCCTAGGCAGTTTTAAGAGGCCGCCATGGCTGGGTAGCTGGGTCTGGGATGGAGATAATAGAAGGGAATTGACATCCCATTTCCCTTTTGGTCTCTTGTCTTTTGGCAGTTTATAGTTAAAAATGAGCCAGAGAACAGCCCAGGTACTTTATTTACATGACTTAAGTGCCCAGGGAGACTCCAGGAGCCTTTTTCTCCCATCCTCACTAGCCAGAGACCCAACCCGGGATGAACCCAGTGCATTCTGGGGGCCTCTCCCGGTGGAGGAGACTCACTTACTCTGTTTAAGAGGTGGCTACTGGAGGCTTGGCAGTCATGGGGGTTCACCACTTGGATTGGCCAAAGGAAAACAGAACAGAAAAGCCCTTTGCTGGGCTAGGCTGAGCTCCAGTGGCCTACAGCCTGCTGCTGGGACATTGTGTGGACAAAGAACTTTATTTTTGCTCCTTTGCTGGACAGTCTTCTCTCTTAGCCCCTGGTCCTGATCTGTAGGACTTGTTTCTTTTACACGCATATACAGGACACTCAAATACTCTGTGTGGATTCTAGGTGTGTGCTCAAAGCCAAAGGTATGTCCAAGGCTCATGGCAAGGGAGGTGGCCATTGAAGTTTCTGTTTCCCAAATTGTTCCCAAAAGCTCCGAGCAAAAAAATGTTACAGGGATGGGTTCAGATGGTCATTGCAGTTTCCCTGCCCATCAGCTGCAGAGCCCTGCGTGGACTCCTGGACCTGAGGGAGTTTCATAGTCTCAATTTGGATTTGAAAAAAGAGTAGCCATCCCGAGATCCTGGGGGTAAGGGGGAAGAGAAAAAAACCCTCTAACTTTTCTGCAAAGGGCTGGGCTCATGGTCTTGACAATGGAGTGCTTTGTGGAGTGGGGAGGCTCAGTGGTCTGCGCAAGGTGAGTATAGGCTGTGATCATGAGGGTCATCGCTCTGATTTCTTGTTGTCCTATTACAGCAAGCTGGGTGCTGTCCCCTGGCAGGACGTTTAGGAATTGGAGGGGAGGGGTGCTGCCTTGTGTCTCTTAATGAAAGGACTCTACTGGCCACAGCCGCACCTCTGTGAACCAGAACAGCCTGAGCCCTCAGTGGATCCTGCTGCTGACGGTGCTGGGAGCTGAAGGCTTCAGCAGCTGTCTGCCCTCTTTTCTGTCTCCTGGCCTACCCTGGCAGAACTAGGGATATAAAAAGCAAGCCTCTGGTCAGAGATGAGAGGCAGGCAGGGCAAGCCAGGCCTGGAGCCCCCCAGCACCATCCAAGAAGAAAGGGCAGCCTGTTGGGGATTTTGCTTCGCCAGAAGTGACCTGCTTAAGGTCAGGATCTATGGTTTTCATTTTTAGAGCTATAAAAACAGAATGCAAATCAACAGCCTCTGGGCTAATACTGAACCTATCCTTAAAGTTTTTGTCTTGTTAAGCAAGGAAATAGAGTGCCAAATAGGCTTTGTTAAGTGGCAGTCTAATTAATTATTTAAAATCTTGTAGCTGTCTTTCATTAGAATTTATCTGTACATCAACCACAAAATCAGTCAAACACACTCATTTATAAGTTAATGCCATCCCTGAATAATTCAGCAAGAGCTAGATTAAGGCCTGCAATCCAGTAAGAAGCATTTTTGTTCTTTTGGTTTCCATAGCCAGATGGGCTGGCCTGGTGGCTGGAGTGGGTCTCCTTTGTGTGAAGGGGAGGCAGCGGGAGGAAGGGACCGTGGGGTCGTCAGTGCTTGGTGGATTTGAATCCAGAGATTCCCTAGGTGACCTGAGAGTCTTCAGGTGGCCAGGTGACAACAGGCCCCTCCTCTTGGAGCTGTCTGTTTCATGGTCCTCTTTAGCTCCAGTGGAGAAGAGAAGGGAGGAATATTCCATGGACAGCCAAGACACTCTTCTTTCTGCTGCAGAGGATGTGTATAAAGGGGAAGTACAAGAGCCCTGCTCAGGAGGGTTGAGATGTGAGGCTTTTTTTATCCCAAATCCTAGCACAGAAACAACATTTCAGTCTTCCCCGCCTAATTGTGTCCTACCCAGAGAATGCAGCCTAGTGGGACCAGTGTCACCAAACACAGCTTCTTTTATTGGGAGCCTCTGGACTGCTGCTTTCCTCAAAGCTCCTGGTTCTTATGACAGAAGAGAGAAGCTGAGAGGAGGAATTTTAGGGGAGCACCAGGACACACCAAGAGAAGAAGAGAAGCAGAGTTGCCCAATAAAGCCCATACATACATTTTCTCACCAGGGGCCAGAATAAAAGCAAGGCAAGCAGTGCATTGTTTCCCTTGTGAGCTCAGACCACATAGCAAATGTGTTTTGGTTTGATTCCCATCATGCCGATATGCGGCCAAGTCCTTGCTGCACTGCTCAGGCCCATCTTCTACAGAGAAACCGTTCAGGACCCAAACTCCCAGCATGGGCACACGGGCTCCTGCACTGTGGGAAGGTAGCCCGGAATTTCTGGTCTCTGTCTCAGGCCACCGATCCCAAGCCCTCTGCAGGGTTCAAGGGCACTGTTTGTGAACACCAGGTAGGTAAGTGGAGCAGGCGGTGGACTTGACACCAGGAGAAGGTTCTTGGCCAAGTCTGAAAAGGGGAAGTCTCATTAGGAAGAAGAAAAGGCAGGGGAAAGGGTAGGTGTCTGTCCCCTGACCTGTGGCCAAGTTGAAAGCAGATGGGACTGAGGAGGGAGGCTTGTGGGGGTGAATCCAGCTCTAAGCTTTGGAGTCACAGCCTGAAAAAGGACAGAGCAGAAGTTCACTTGCTGGAGAGGAGAAGGAGGGGGCAGGCATCATGAAGGATGTCAAGAACGGATCTGTTTAGTACCATCTGCAGCAAAGTAGTGGTTAAGGTGAAAGCAGAGAGGAGATGACAGGGAGGGAACAGATGGCCAAGGAAGCAAAATAGCTGGCGAAACGGGAACAGAGCCTCCAGGGACAGCAGAAGGCAGGACCTCCTCGCAGAATGCCGGAAGCAGCTCTTTCTCGGGGTGCGCTGGCCAGGCCACCCTGACTAGAAGGGAGTCAGAAAGAGGAGTGGGGCAGGGACTTCAGGGTGAAGGGACTTCCCAGGCCTGGGACAACACCTAGCAAGACATCAGTTCCAGGGTTGGGGGTCCCAAGAGCAGGGACCCCCTTGGATGCCTTGAACTGGGTAGAGGAGGCACCCTGACTTGGTGTCCATCACTAGAGCAAAGCCAAGCTGTGTTGCATCTCTGAGCGTGCCTGGTTAAGCCCACCAGGAGGTGGTATGGACGCTAGCTGGAGACAGGGGCATCAAGGACCCACTCGTGCCAGTCACCATCCGTG